TTTATATTATGGTAACGAAAATCATAGCTCTCAATGATCGTTGAATGATCTAGTGTTTAAACTGGGTGACCTACTATGGGCAAGCCTAAAATTGGAGCAGTCTTACATGAGTGTTCAAGTTAGGATTTTTGCAATACTTTGGAAAGATTAAATATCAAGTGCACCAATTATGGTTTAAATAATTGAAAGAAAATATTCTTGCATGGACAAAATACTTTTGTAATCTCGCCCAGCTTACGAATCACTTATTTATGTACAAATGTTATAGTTTAATGTGCAATTTTTATTTAGGAAAAAAGTACTCTATTGCTTAATTATAACCATTATTGAACCAGAGTTCCGTGCCTAACCGATTTAAGACATAATAATTATTAATCATTTATGACTGCAATATGTGTTATATTATCTACAATGTGTTCGAAAAACACATTAATTGATTGAATTATTTTATTTTTAATTAGCTACTTGTAAAACGGATTCATCATCGCTATTAAGAAACTACGGGACTTCAACTGCAAGACTATTCAAAAAGTGACCTCGTTTATAACGTTTGTATTACATACATAAATGCGACTCACATGCCAACAATAAATACTTTACATTTCATATTACGAAGACTTTAGAAGACAATAAAAATACCAATGTACATATAACATACGCACGACTTTATATTGCAATTATATTTCTAAAAAGCACTTATATAGACCACCTCTTAGAGAAATTTAGGCCACAATTCGAGAGAAAAATTGTAAGGAAATAAAAAGGACACATAAACAACTTAAGGGGTTTCCACTTGACATTAAACGATAAAACTATTTTAAGCACATAATATGTTTCTGTTTAATTTGTTGTATCCACAATTTAGGGGATCATAATAAATTAAAAATGGAAATACTGCCTTGCGAAGAAACGAATAAACATATTATGTTATTCGAAATATACCTTTCGTAAAGAATTAATAAAAATCTAAAATGGACACACTTGAGTTTTTTTAATTAATTTTATAAGACTCTATACACACATACGTTTGGTATTGGTCTTGCATTGAATAAGAAAGATGGTCTTTCGTTCATTGCTTTGTTCATATAAGTATCAATTGGGTAGGTCATCACATACATCACTCCGTCTTAATCAATTACCATATAATCATAACTTGCATTTAAGTATATTATAAAAACTTAGGTTTACTGCTTACTGATTTAAGGTAATTTTTTATTATTTAAAAATATACAAATATGCTTATTTGATTACAAGAAACTCTAACTGCATTTTCTTTTTTTTTCTCTTACAATATCTATATAAGAATTTAATTTTTATAGTTTTTAAAAACTATTTTAATAGAACAAGGGTTAGTACTACCCTATTTGATTTTCCGATAAAAGTCACCATTTTTGTTGGTTTTTTATATGAAAAGGTTTTAGCCTACTACATTGGCTCATACTCTGAACGTATCAGGCACGACAAACAAGGCAGTCACTAGCCATGCCCACTAGAACATACCAACAAAGTTCCCTGCCCAGATAAACCGTTCAATGTGTGCGACGTACGATGCCCATTCTAGCTCATTCGGTTATAGCTCAGTTTGTTCAGAAGGACGCGTCTATAGGAGCGAAGTGTCGTTGTAAAAATATTTTAAAATAACTATACGGTGGATATTAGAAAATTATCTGTAAGTCGATCAGCAATATTTGTTAATATTTTGGCAACGGTGAGCATCGCGGTGATAACGCATTTGATTGCCTGCCTAGAGTCGACCCCAAGATACAGGATTATCCTAGTTGGGGTCCAACGGAAAATATTTGTATATCTTATGTTGAACATTGTTTGGCTTACTGTTCTTGCTTACATTTGTTAAGTCTATATGTCAATAAAATTTATTTTTTGATTTAACTTTGTGACTTTATATATAGTAATATAAGCTTTACAAATTCTTTACTAAATCTACACTGACATTTATTTAATTTTAGGATACTCTCCGAGATCTGGCTGATAGACAGTGAGAACTGAAGGACTATACTGTAACGGCTGAAACTTTTTAAATATTCTTTTAAAATTCCAGGTTTCGTTCTAAGAATAAAAACATATGGCAATACACAATGCTGTGTTAGTCCTACTTTAACATATGGTAGCATAAATTGGGGGTGGCAGAAGCACGGGAGTAGAATAAACTCAGTAGAAATGCGGTCGTTAAGGAGTATGTTAGCGCTGAATCTGAGTGACAGGGTAAGAAATCGTGTGATAAGAGAAGAGTGTGATATGCAAGATAATGTTGTGACGAGGATTAAAAAAGGAATGCTTCGGTGGTTTGGTCATGTAGAAAGAATGAATGAGGAAAGAGCAACAAAGCAAATTTATGGTGCAGAAGTGAATGGCAGAGTTGGAAAGGGACGTTCTAGGCGATGTTTGTTGACCAAATTGGCGATATACTGAAAATGGGCCAAATTAACAGTACCCTTAACCGACGAGCATATATGCGTATATGGATATGGAGGAGGCGAGAGAGGTGTGTCAGGATCTTGCCAAATGGAAGTCTCTAGTCTCTACCAACCCCTGTGGGTGACATTAAGGGATATTACGTGGGATGCTCGTAATGTGTTATTCTTTAAACCCCTATTATTACGTTCGCAGTCAAAGGGTTAAGTTTAAGAAAATGATATTCATTTCAAATGCCGAAACAGTTACGTTCATAGTGTTAGCCGTTGTAGAGGGCCGAGAACTTTATAACTCTTTGTAAGTTCATGTAGACAGATCTTATCCATTTATTAAGATATTCCCTATCATCATTGCATTATTAATAATTATATGCAAGTGGCTCAATATTTTTAAAATCAATTGAATTTGAATGAATGTCATTTATGTGTATTATTTATTGCTTGTCGAAGGCCCGTACTGAGTTTCAGAGATAATATCTACAATGATTTACATCAAATTTAAAATGCGCGCCTTACAACTGTAAGTATTCTAGATTAATCAAATTGTATATACAATGGACAAATAATAATTTGTGAGATGATACTTATGCATAACAAACATACACTTAAATCTAACATACCCCATCTAGGTCCATTCAACCTTGACTATGCGATGAGTATTGCCAAATATTGCACAAAACATGTATAGAACATATTATTGTTTTCATCAAATAAACAATTGATTCAGTCCATTACACAGTAATTTACAATGACAAGTTACACCTATAATTAAAATTATATGTCTCGTCAAGATATGCCAATGGAGAGTTAAATCTTTCGTCTGAAATGCCACACATCTGCACCACACCTTTTATTAGTTACTGTGTGCTATCCTCAGATCGGAAATAAAAATTTGTTATAAAAATAAGTGTGTCCATATGCAGGCAGGCCTACCCCTTTACATGAAAAGTGTGAGAATTTATGTCCATATGCCTTTAATATTGACTATTTGATATTATGCATTCGTGAAAAACAAAACTAAATATAACTAGTTGAAGGCATGGTTTCATTTTAATGTTTTTAAAAGATACATCTTGTAAATTTACGACCAACTAGTCATGTAGTAGTAGTTATGTGGGAGTCACCACATTAAATTAAAAATAAATAATTAATGAAAATTATTAATTTGCCAAATTTTTATTTATTTTGTAGGTGACTTAACATATTACGTAACTATCGGATTAAAACACGATGAAATCTGCAATTTAGTTTCATTTCATTTTTATGCAATCAAGATGGAAAATTAGAATAATGCCCTATTTTGTTAAGTTACTATTTTTGTATCTTCGATGTACCAAACCAAGCCAACAACTTATATAAATATGTTAAGTGCAGGATTAAACATTTCACATTCCAAGTAAAACGATGGCTGACAGTAAATTGACTTAACACTTTGAATTTCTATATTAGAAAAAATTCACTTAGTACAAAAATAAAAACCATACAAAATTAATGAAAGAACATTTAATAAAGTTGAAATATTATACCTATGAAATTGATTTCATTGCTTCCATTTATTTTCCTCATTGTATTTTCATTTTAAAAATAATTATACAATGTCTACATCATAGCAAATGTCTTTTAAATATAAAGGAATAGCAACTGATTATAGTGTACATCAAGAAGCGACACAGGCTGTTTTGATTGAAGCAGGTACTGTGTGGAAGTTCAGCTTCATTACAATGAAATAGTGTTATAGTGAATATTTTTTACAAAATACTTAACTAGATAAACAGGACAATAGTCAAAGTGATAAGTCAATATCACCCCAGTCAAAGTTATTCAAGTTGTTAATTTAAATAATGTGTAATAAAACTGTTCAAGTTTCACACATGGAATAAAACTAATTATACGGATTTTATCGCGTCTAATTTAAACTTTTTTAATTACCAATGTTTCGAGCACTTTCAGCACCCATGGCCATGGGGTGATAAGGTAGTCTTTGTTAAATATTACATTTCAATGTAATATTTAACAAAGGCTACCTTCAACTTTTAATTATATGACCATGGGTGCTGGAAAGTGACCAAGACATCGGGAATCAATTTTTTTTTAACCAAACACAATAAAATCCGTTAAATTAGTTTTATCCATGTGTAGTAACAAATAATGTAATATGTTGCCATGATGCCACATCAGCAATAGCGATGTCTGTTGTGATAGTGCAGATTTTAAGAATGTTTAATTTACATTGACAATATTTATGACGAATATAATGAGATTCCATAATACGAGGCACAAAATAACAGTAACATTAACAAAACCTATATATGTGTCATATACTATAATAAGATTTACTTGTGCATCACTCAATGCACAATAATTATTTTGCATCTTAGAGTAACTTTAAGTTAATCATTGAGCTTTCCATTTATACAAATAAATAAATAATGTAATAACTACATGATCAAAGAAGATAATTCTATCTTTATAATATACAGAATAACCAATAGTTTAGTTTCACTATACAAAGATTTATGCTCGCTCTAACATACAGTCTAAAATCTATTTGCGAGTATAAGACTTATATCACCTCACTTCACAGTGTTTATTAACAGTAACTGGTAGGGTAGAGGAGCTGGCGGCAGCCGTCTCTGAGGATGTGGACTCTGCAGCGCTGGAGCCCTGCTCACAGGCGTCTTTCATCACATATCCCGAACCCTGAGAACTCCTTGCCAATTTTAACCGAATAGGCGTCACTTTAGCGGTCCGTATCTTACGCATTCCGGAAGAGGCGTCAGAACTGAAAGGCGGGTCGATAGCCAAAGGATCGGGCGCAGTGGGATCGTACTCAAAAGGATCGACCGGCGGCTCTGGTGCCGCGGCCGTCGCTGCCACTGTTGCACTTGTTCCCGCCACCCCACTTCCCCTTTGCGACCCCGCTCTTCCCTCCTCCTCTTTTTTGCGTTTTATTTTTATAATTAACTTAGTAGCACTATCACTTTCACTGTTTATCACTTGTAGTTTCTCTTTTTCTAACTTTTTGTCCTTCTTTTTCTTACGTTTTTCACTTTTATTAGGCTTGAACTTCTTCGTCTTTTCGTTTTCTTCGAAATCTGCCATGACCATACGCCGATACTTCATACTTTCACGGCGTAAGTCTTCCAAACTGGGCTTAGGAATACTAGTTAGGCGCTTTTTCGGAGGTCGAAATTGGAAACCAGAAGGTTCATCATTCACTTGCTGTACAACATTTGCTCCAATTTTTATTTTTAATTTTGGAGCAACCGGAGACGTCGCGCTGGATCTGCTCGGTTTTGTAGAGATGCGACCGCGCCTCTTATGCGTTTGATTTGTGTTACTATTGTAACTTGACACTTTCATATCTTCTGATGGCTCAATATCATCGTTCATTGTTACTTCCAAATGTCTTAATTCTCTATTTACACCAGAAACTTTTCGTTTTTTCTTTTCGACTGGTGTGTCAGTAATTTTGTAGTCCTCTCTTGTTGGAATACTAGTCATAGATGCAACTGCTTTTGGTATAGTAATAACTGCACGAGGCAAGGGCTGAGGTGCAGCTGGAGGAGGTGGGACTCCAGTTGTTGATGTATTAGTGGGGTCGTCCATATTCATATCCTGTGTCCAATACTGCCGCAATAATTCTTTTTTACGCATGCGCCGTAAATTGGTAGATCCGCTCATCATAGACGACGCTGGACCACTAGTGGTGTTACTAAGAACACCGGTATTTGAGTCATGCACAGGTGCCGGTGGCTGTGGAGCCACAGGTTGTACAGAACTAGCAGAATAGTTGGCATCCAAAAATGGTCCCTTTATTTTTACTTTTAGCTGATTCCTAGAATCACTCAATGAAACCTTTGGTAATTGTGGCGTTTCTTTCGTTGATTCATTAATATCAGGGACAGGGCCAGCTAAAGGTGTACCAGGTCTTGGTTTACTTCCTCTGAGGGCACTATGCAGTTGTTTTTCAACTTCTTCATCTATTTCTCCTAATTGCTGATCAGCAGTACCACTAGCGAAAGCCAATAAATGACTGTGGAATCCATCACCAGCTGGAGGCACTGGAGCATCGAAAGGTTGATATGTCCGCATGTCAACAGGTCCCGGTAAGACAGGTTGGACTTGTGCAAATCCAGGTGTTCTTTCAGAATTGCTTTTGCTTGAGGGAGATTCAGGAGATCCCTGAGGTTCAGGTGATGGTGCCTTAGCTTCTTTCACTTCTGGTATTTGCTTCTTAATTTGCTGCGGGCTAAGGACCCGTGGTGATTGAGATGTATCTTTGTAGGAATGTTCTGATTTTCTATCATCTCTTATGTCAATAGACTTTCGTCTTTCCCTAAGGGCTTTCAAATCAACACCATCATTTGCCAATTCTTCATCAAAATCGTACACTGTTCCAACCAATTTACTTTGAATTGAATTGCCCATAAAATCTACAGGTGGAAAACCATGTATACCTTGACCACGGCTCTTTGATCTACCACGGCCTCTTTGACTTCTATTACTCCTATTACTTGGACGCTTAGTTCCCTTCGGGACATCGCATTGTTTGGGAGATATACCAGGGCTTTTACCAGGAGATTTTGATGAAAACTTAGGTGTAGTTTTCACAGCTTTTGGTGGTGATTTGGATTCCTGTGGATGTAAGCTTGACATTGTTTCGTTGCTATCATTCGACATCTTCGTTGCCGGTCTTGTATTACTTGTTTCATTGTAAGAATCAACACTAATACTTGGACTAGATACATGAATAGAGAATTTATCACTACCTGTAACATCAATGTCATCTCTGGGTGAATCAATTGGTTTGGGTGTTGGAGGAGCAATCATTGCAGTTGTTAATGCTATATTTTGTGATGATGTAGTAAATGCTGCACACAAAGGAAAATGAGGTTTTGGCAATGGTTGTATTAAAGGTGTAGTAGAGTAAGACAGTCCTTGAGCATATAAACCAGGTCCTGGCGATGGAAGTGGCAACTGGGAAGAAGCACAAGCGCCAGCTGCGAATAATGGCAGTGACCCCATCGAATTTAAAAAAGGGGAAGCATCCGGAGGATAGTTGCTGTACTGGTTAAGAGGCATTGAAGGTTCTACTGGACAAGAATATGCTGGTAGAGGCCCGTATTGGTCTATATCTGACATCATAGTTCCTGGATGTGAATCACAGCTATTTAAACGAGTCTTTAAGTCGGCTTTCCGAGAACAAACAGATCCTTCAGAATTAGAACTTGAATCAGATGACCTTCTAGTAGTTATTTTACTCTCCCTCCATTTTGAATCATGACTAACATATGGCGATGATATAGTAGCACAATCAGAATGTATCAAAGAATTATTGTTGTCATAGTTTTGATTATCTTGTGTCAATTCCTGATCATTGCTATGTACAGAGTGGTCAATAACAGACAAAGATTGAGAATCATCACTTTGTTTTGACAAAGAGATAGTATCTCCTACTTCCAATACAGATTGAACATCTGACTGAATTGGAATTGATTCTTTAATATCTTCATTGTATGGCATTGTATGGCTATACTTTCTTTCAATGGTTGGCTCTAGTTGAAGCTCATTATGCATCACTGGTACAGGCAAATCAGACCATTTTTCTTTGATATTTACATGTTCAGGTTCCTCAACTTTTTCATCTACTGCAACCTCTCGCGTTGTTAAAGAAAGCTCAACAGGACATGGTTTATGATTAACATCAATAATTTCATTATGAGGTGATCTCATATTTTGTGTTTCCGCAGGAGTAGATTTTTTTAGTAATAAAATGTCATGGTCTTTACCAGTATTTGGAATGTTCTTATTTTCAACAACTCCTTCTGTGTTTTTGTCGTCGTTTATAGTAATTGTCTCATTTTGTGCTGAATTCTCTGGTGGTGCTTTTTTAGAGCTTAATTGCATTCTAAGTCTATCAACAAGATTAAGAGTTTCCTGAACACCTTGTTCTTTTGAATCTTCCTTAAATAGGAATTCAGGATAAGTAGTAAAAGGTTTCATCATATCCTCGTGGTTAAATCCATCATCCTCAACAAGGATGTCAAATTCAAACAGTTCGTTATCTTTTGATTGTGGCGAAAACATTGATCTATTAGGAAAGGGGTTTACAGCTGATGGTATTTTTGCACTCTTAGATATTTCAACTCCTTGAACATGGCTAGCATCTTGATTAATAAACTTCTTTTCTGTGTCTAGAGCTGAATGTTTTCTCATACTTCTCGGCATTGGATTTTCTTCTATAGGATCCACAGTAATAGTCCTTGCGTCCATTGGAGTCTTAGGAGATTTAATCATAGTATTTTCATTAAGATTTGCTTGGATTTTGGCTATCATTTTGATACTGCTCTTATCAGCACAGTCAGAGTCTAATGATTTATCTTCAGTCATATATTTTTCATGACCACCAGGTTTTTCAACTGGGGGAGGATGTACATTAGGACTTGGAGCTTTTGGTAACCAATGTTTATCATTGCCTTCAAAATTGTCAGAAATTACAGATGGCATTTTCTTTTCTATTATATCAATTGCTGGTGGTGGCTCAACATTCACTTTTTTAATAGGAGATAGAGAGGAATGATCTACAACAGCCATGTTTTGTGAATCACTACTGCTGGTTAGCTTCTCTTTTGGGAATGTCTCTGTAGAATCATTAAATACATGCGTGGGTTCTTTAGAAGGAAAATCTTTTACACTCATCCGCCTGCTGACAATATTTTTCTGTTTAGTATCAACACTTTTCTTAGGACTGACTGTTTTTGTAGTAGCCAAAGTTTCATTAGGAAGTGGTATTATTTTTTCTTTGTCTTCAACTGATATACTATGTGGAATAATGTTAGTGGATGTTGTTTTAATATCATTTTTAACCATTTCAATAGAAGTACAAGTTTCATCTTTAATTTCTTGCTTTATCTCCGCGTCCTTTTGCCGCTCCGTAGTTGGAAATTCACAGGACTGGCTGGTCTCTTTGGGAGTCTTATTTGATGCCGAGGCATGACCGATGTCGTCTTTAGATGATTTTCTCTGTCGGGTATCAAACTTATTAGACATATTTCCGCTTGCAGTAATGCTTCTGGTCCGAGAACGTGTGGCAGCACGCGTGTCGTTGGATCTGCTTGATTCCTCTCCTTCAACAGTCGGTGATGGTACCCTACACTCGGACCCCCGTTCGGAAGTTTTAAGCTTCTTGTCAGGGGCCTTGCGTGGGGACGCATCATTGGAAATACTTTTTCCTCTTCTAGGCCTACGTGGCCTTTTCGGAGAGGGGCTTCCAGAACCGGAAAATCTTGATTCCTTAATGCTGTCAGAATCACTCGAGGCACTAGTTGAAGACAACGGTCTTGACACCTTGTCAAGAAAGGGCAAGTCCACTGTTGGTCTAGAGCCTGGAGGTGAAAACATAGAGGGTTGTCTAGAAATTGGTTTAATTTCACGGGCTTTAGCAGTAGGTTTAAGGCCAGGTTTCTCCGGCTCTTCATCTGAGCTAGAAGAAGAGGTATAGCTACTGCTGCTGGAATTTGAGGAACAGCTTGAACTGTCTTTCTGAGATATTTTGGAGCTTTTTGTATCATCTTTCTTTGGTGACATTTTCAGAGTTTCAGATTTTTCATTTTCTTTCTTTTTGTCTGTGCCTGTTGTTTCAACTACGGGCAGCTTACTGCCTAATCCACTTTTAATGTGAGCAGCAGCTTTTTTAGCTGCTTGTCTTTGAGGGACATAAGCTATTGGTTCCTTTTCAGTGTCTTTTGATGATTTCTTTCTGCCAACTTTAGCAGGAATATCTTTAACTTCTTTTCCTTTTGCTTTGAGTTTTGGTTTAGATTTTGAATCATCTCCACTAATATGTTTTTCTGCACTTGTTTCCTCTTTTTTAACAATAGCAGTAGAACGCATATTTTCTGAAGCTTTTTTAGCAGCCTGTCTTTGTGGTACAATTAAATCTGATGGGTTATCTTTTTGTTTCGAAAACTTAATATTTTCTTTATTTTTAGCTTCATCATCAGAATCATTACTTTTTACAGGTGTTTTCTTCTCTTTATTAGAAGGTTTTCGACCCCTCTTTTTGGGAGTTGGTTTTTCCTCCACAGGTACAGATTTTTTCTCTGGGTGGGTGGGTATAAACTCCTTCATAGCTGCTTTAGTTCTGGGTAATGGCTGCTGTGAATCATTTCCACTTGGTGAAGCTTCTGGTTTGTTTCTTTCAGATTTAATTTTTTCTGGTTTCACTTTCTCTATCTTCTCAGATTTGAGATCAGTTTTAACAGCAATGACTTCTTCACTACTATCTGAATAAATATCAACAGGAAATTTACTGTTTCTCGTTGACCTTATAGGCATAAGTTCATCACTGTCTGTACCAGAATGACCACTCTTTCCTGCATCCATTTCTTTTTCCATCTGTTGCAATGTTTTACTTTGTGACCTATCTTTCTTTATTCTTGATTTAAATGTCTCATCTTCACTACTACTCTCAACAACGGCTTTAGATTGTGGTAATTTCTTCTTTTTCCTTTCTGGTTTCTTTGGCGACCTCTTACCCTTTGCTTTAGGTGAAATCTTTTTCTTTGGTGAGGAAATCGCTTTCTTAGCATCCTCATCTGTACTAGAGCCAATAGCTCTTCCCCTATATTTAGTTGACCGGCTAATTTCGGCTGAGCTATCTTCACTTGATAGCCCACTAAACATACTCCCACTTCTTCTTGAACCATTTACATAATGTTTCTTATATGGATTTGGTACTTTGGATCCTTTAACAAGGCCGTTTCGATCCTTTTTCTTTTCATCACTTGAATCTTGAGGCGCAATTCGCGCAAGCAAATCATCAAAATCATTTTTATGATCAGGCGCATTTGGATGTGAATATAATCTGTCGTAAATGGACGGCCCATGATTAGCTTCTATAATAGCTGCCAAATCTGGCCCAGAGATTGCTGGGTCAGCCGACAAAACAGCAACTTGTTTATGAAATGTTTGTTCTCGCATACGAAAGAATGAGCGAGATAGCTTTTCTCTCCTGCTCACCATGTAACATAAGTTACGAACTCGTTCCAAATCTTGTCTCAATTGCACAAACATTTTCATTTTATCAAGATCAGCTTGTTCTTGTCGATGAGACAAAAGCTCATTGTCATCTGATTTAGGTGGCAGCAAAGGACGGTTATGCCCTGCACGTCTCTTTAATTTCCAGTAATTGTAGATGTAATTGATAGCGTCTTGATCGACATCTAGAAGATGGGAGCTTATATCTTTGATACTAACATGACGATCAAACTCTCGTTCAATCTCCTGTAACCGAGCAGCTCGAGCCTGCGTTTTTTCCTCTGATGTCATATCTTTTCGACGTTTCCTTTTGACTTCTTCCTCCTCGGAGCCCGATCCCGGACATTTCTCTTTCTTTGAATTTACACTATGCTTCTGACAATACGATCGTAATTTAACACCATCATCAGCATTTTCGTCTTCAATGATTGCACGCATTTCAAGTCCATGTTTAAATGCGCACGTAACATGATAAGCAATCTTGCAAGTCTTTACAGAACACTGTATACATGCTCCCTTTCGTTCCCGACACAAAACACACACTAACGACCAGCGTGAGGGTGGTATAGAGGATATTTTTGTTATAGGTTCCATTTTTTCAGCACAACCAATAGATACTTCTGGGATCCAGAGCACGCAGCTAACATGTGCCCACTTATGACCATTCGGCGTACACTTCATGGCTCCACCAAGGTTAGGGCATAAGGCACAAGTTGGTCTTACACCTACTCCACAAGGCCTACACAGCCATTGACCTGAAAAATAAAATTCAACAATGACTATATTATCAGTCAACACAAATGACATAAGACTTGAAATGGGTTAGGGGCCTGTTGAAGACTCACCATGACCATACGTACCATCTGGAATGACAGTAATGCCATAACACGCCTGGTGAACACAAATGTTACATGAGTCGCAGAATACCATCTCATTTCCATCCTCTGAATCTGGTGATCGACAGACGTCGCAGATTACGTTTTCGTCGTACTCGATGCCTAAGCCTTCTTCAGACTTCATAATAGCTTGGATTTTGTCCCAAGTTCGGACCTGTAACAAATAGATACGAAATTATTCGTTAACATTTTTTTAAATAATAATCATTATTATAATTTTTTTATAAATAAGAGGCTACCCATAAACTGAACACGAAAGGTGCTGCAAGTGTGTTGTCCGCCTTTAACATTCGTCATCACACAAAAATCCTGTTGTTAAACTTTATATTATGTATGAATATGAATGAATCATTCATATTCATACTATTCAACTAACGGTAACAAATCATAACATCACGCGTATAATCCCCGGGAGAGTAGGCAGAAACCCAGGTGCAGTAAACTACTTGGACCACCTTCTGCAAAATGATATGAATTTAGAGTGGAAAATTGTGAAGGAAGTGATAGGTGCACATATTCTGAATAACAAACTCAATATACCATCCAAACGCCTTTTACAACATGATAACAAGTAACACAATTACCACATTTTTTGTTAGGCAAGTTCCATAAAAACCTGAGACCTTTAAGTCCCGGATCAACATGGGACAAACACTAACAATTATTAGAAACAATTTAATAACGATGTATGCCTGCAATTCCACTCATATATTAAACTTAAAAACTTTATGTTAAAATTAATAAATATGATGATCTCAATGACCTCAATAGTGCCTCCCAACGGATAGGTCTTGAGATGAACATGGACAAAACAAAGATCATGTTTAATGTCCATGTCACACCTATAGTAGTATTTGGGTAGTTGTTGGGAGCACTAAGCTCGAAGTTGTTGATGAGTATGTTTACCTGGGACAAATACTCCGACTAGATAAGTCCAACTTCGACCGAGAGGTCAATCGACGGATTCAACTCGGCTGGGCAGCGTTCGGGAAATTACGACACATCTTCTCGTCAGGTATACCTCAAAACCTAAAAACTAAGTTGTACAACCAGTGCGTGTTGCCAGTGATGACCTACGGAACCGAGACGTGGTCCTTCACTGCTGGCCGTATGAAGACGCTCAAAGTCGCTCAGCGAGCTATGGAGAGGGCTATGCTCGGAGTTTCTCTGCGTGATAAACTTAAAAATGAGGATATCCGCAGTAGAACCAGAGTGACCGACATAGCCCAACGGATTAGTAAGCTGAAGTGGCAATGGACCGGCCATATAGCTCGAAGACTCGACAACCGTTGGGGAAGAAGTGTTCTTTAGTGGCAGCCTTATACCGGTAGGCAAAGTGTAGGGTGACCCCTCCACTAGATGGAGTGACGACCTGGTAAGACATGCAGGAAGTCGATGGATGCAGGTGGCTCAGGACCGTGCTTTGTGGCATACCTTGGAGGAAGCCTATGTTCAGCAGTAGACTGGTGAAGGGCTGTAATGATGATGATTATGATGATGATGACAATAAGGATGAATTTTTAAATAACTGACAGACCAATAATAAATTCTATTTTTAGTATATTTTTTCGATTTTATATTATTATATTTTTTTTATAGATTAGGGTGACAAAAGAGCACACAATTCACCTGGTGGTAAACGGTTGCTGTGGCCCATAGACATCTACATCTACCCTCGATTACGAATCAAAATGCAGATACCTTGTCACCCTTGGAGACTAAGATAGAGTGCCTCGTTTCTGTTTTATGTTTGTTAAATTGCATCAAAACGTTTTAAACGCCTTGACCAAGTAGTTCCACGTAATAGACGTGACAATACCCTTTTGTGTTATCAATCCGCTAAGACAGCACTAATGCGCAAAAGTATATACTGCATGGCTCCAGTCATATATGATAAAATACCTAAAAGTTAGAAAGAATTGCCGCTATCGATATTTAAAGTAAGGCTTCGAAGCTTCTTGACGGTCAAAGCAGCGTAACAGAATTCTTGACTGAAATATTTTTTTTATTTTGAGATTAAGACTGTATAATGTTAAAAATCTGAACTATGTTTGTTTTTATGTTATTATTTTATTTTGTTATAGCTGTTTAGGTGATTAGTTTATATTTCTGTATATTTTGCATGCCTACTGGTAAAATATGGCTGAACTCACTACCTATATTACCATGTACGGTACCCATATTTGCAAAATAAAATATCTTTTATCTTATCTTTATCTTTTATCCATTAAAAAGGGTCATTAAGCTACTATTTTACACTGTTATTCTGTTAGAGTGTGGTCCTTTCCTATTTAATGTGGCGTTATTAAGACATAACATAATCAAAGACCAATCAACATATCAAGGTCCGAAATAATAATTTGAAATGTAAAGTGGTATTATTTTACTTTCCATTGAGTGTTGATACTTTAATACATTAAAGTATCATGTATAAAATTGGAGAAAATCATTGTTTCTGTATACAGACCTCCCTTCAGTAACCAATGGGTGTAATTTGATTCTGCTATGGAACATGCTTTAAAAATTCTGTGCATTAAAAACAAAAAAAATATTGTGAGGACTATGATTTTAACATTCAAACCTTCATTGGACTCAATTAGTCATTACTCTTTTTTATATAGTTTAGGGTGACAATCGAGCACACAGTCCATCTGATGGTAAATGGTTGCTGTGGCCCATAGACATCTACATCTATTCTCGATTATGAATCCAAATGCAGATGCATTGGCACCCGGCTAAGATGGATGGATCTGTGCTACAACTACTACAACTATATACTAATATAACATGAAACGAAAAATTGGATTTAAGCAAATCATTTAATTAAGACCATGTATTCTTAGTTGCCGTGTAGTGGCGGTTGAGAATATCCACTACCCCATATCTTCCCGTGGGTGTCGTAAAAGGCGACAGAGGGAGACAGGCAGGAGATGGGCAGCAGCATCTTCCTGATAACAACTGTGACGTAATAAAAAACTGCGGTTGCCAACCCGCTCGCCAAGCGTGGCAACTATGGCAAATACCCCCCAATGAATAAATACACAAACAGACGGCCCCCAGTCCCCGGCGGCCCCGCTATTCCTGGCTACGGTGGCGACCATGGTAACGGCGGGGCAGGGGGTGCTAAGAATCTCCGGTGGAGGTTCGGTTGCCACCTACGACGACTCGACCTGGCAACATATAACGCACGCACCCTGAGGACTGACGAGAAGATACTAGAGCTGGAAGAAGAGGTAGACAAGTTGCGCTGGCATATTATTGGATTATCCGAGGTCCGAAGAGAGGGAGAGGACACGGCAATCCTCGAGTCCGGCAACTTGTTCTATCACCGGGAGGGCGACCATCTGTCCCAAGGAGGTGTCGGATTTATCGTCCACAAGTCTCTCGTCAACAACGTTGTAAAGATTGGGAGTGTGTCGACGAGGGTCGCGTACCTGATACTCAGAATCACCAAACGGTATTCGCTGAAGGTCATTCAGGTTTACGCACCAACCTCGGCACATCCCGATGAGGAGGTGGAGGAAATGTATGAGGATATTTCCAGAGCCATACATTCCTCCAAAACCCACTACACGGTGTTGATGGGAGACTTCAACGCAAAACTAGGCACAAGAGAAAGCGGTGAGCTGAAGGTAGGGAAATTTGGAGTAGGGCATCGGAACCGAAGGGGCCAGCAGCTGGCCGACTTTATGGAGAAAGAGGGACTCTTTATGATGAACTCTTTCTTCCAGAAGCGGCCCCACAGGAAGTGGACCTGGTCGAGCCCCGACGGTTCGACAAAAAATGAGATTGACTTCATTATGACGACCAGACGCCAACTGTTCAGTGATGTCTCAGTGATCGCAAGGGTGAAAACTGGCAGCGATCACCGAATGGTTAGAGGCACACTGAACCTAAACGTTAAGTTGGAGAGGTCTCGTCTAATGAAGTCAACGATCCGTCCCCCCTCGTGCTCTAATCCAGAATCCCGAAACCTTTCAGCTCGAGTTACGTAACCGCTTCCAGTGCCTAGAAGATTGCAATGCAGTGGACGATATGAACGACAAGCTCGTGGAAACTGTCCATGCGGTCGGAGCTAAGTTCTGCAAGACCCGCCGCAGAAGAACACAAAAACTCTCCGATCACACTCTTAATCTCATGGCTGTTAGACGGGAGATGAGGCTGCAATCGTCAACAGATTTGACAGCATACAGGCAACTGAACAGACAGATCTCCAAATGCATGCGGCGAGACTTACGCAACTTTAATACTTCTCGTATTAAAGAAGCGATCGAGCGGAACCAGGGCTCCAAAGTCTTTGCCAGAAATCTGTCTGCCAGAAAGAGCCAACTGTCAAAGCTGAAGACTGAGTGTGGCAACATCGTTTCCGGGACACCTGAGATTTTGAGTGAGATTGAGAGGTTCTATGGGCAGCTGTACACATCATCGTTGGAGCCACACGTAAGTGTGAGTAACGATCCAAGAGCAAGTCTTATCCGACACTATTCCGATGATATCCCGGACGTCAGTCTGAGCGAGATTAGAATGGCTCTCCACCACCTTAAAAACGGCAAGGCCCCGGGCGAGGATGGAATTACAGCGGAGCTTCTGAAAGCGGGTGGAAAACCGGTACTTGAAGTCCTTCGGAAGCTCTTCAATTCCGTCCTCCATGGTGGCACTACTCCGGAGGCGTGGAGCAGAAGCGCGGTGGTTTTGTTCTTTAAGAAAGGCGACAACGCTCTCTTGAAGAACTACAGACCGATTTCCCTTCTGAGCCGCGTCTACATGCTATTTTCGAGAGTCATTACGAATCGTCTCGCACGCAGACTCGACGACTTCCAGCCTCCCGAACAAGCCGGTTTCCGAAAAGGCTTCAGTACCATAGACCACATACATACCCTGCGGCAGATTGTACAGAAGACCGAAGAGTACAATCTGCCACTTTGCCTGGCATATGTGGACTATGAGAAAGCCTTTGATTCCGTCGAAATTTGGGCGGTGCTACAGTCCCTTCAGCGGTGCCAAGTTGACTGTCGGTACATCGAAGTGCTGAAGTGTTTGTACAGTAGGGCTACGATGGCTATCCGAGTACAGAACCAGAGTTCGAAACCTATCCAACTGCAGAGAGGTGTAAGACAGGGTGATGTTATATCCCCGAAACTCTTCACCGCTGCG